CCAGGGCTCCACCGAAGAGCACGTCGGCCCCGGCCTGAGCTGCTGATTCATCAGGTGTCTGTGTCAACGCCTCCCCGGCGCGGGGGTCCTCGGCGGGCTGGGGGAGGAGGCGGCACGTGAGGGGGCTGGGAAGACCCTGCTCGCGCCGGCTTCGCTCCGTCACACGCTGCCAGAGCCCAGAGGGAGACTTGCTGAGTCATCAGCATGAGGTCACTCGATGCTTGTCCTGGTGCCTGGGGGGATTTGAGCTAGGGGCCTGAGAGGCCGGGAAACGTGGGGTGAGCGGGAAACGGTGGGGAGTGGGAAGGGGCCAGGCCCCGAGCTCGGTCTCCTGTTTAAGTTTGGGCTGATGTGCGGGTTGAAAAAAGGGTGAGTGGGCAGTAAATGAAGGGGTCTCAGTGCAGGTTTCCCCCAGGGTGGCAGGTAAAGTCCCTGGCCTGTCCATCCCCTCCCAGGCAGGCTCTTCGCAGGCTACTGGTCTCTGACCTGCGTCTGGGACAGTTCCCCAAACTGGGAAATAGTTCTCTGAGTAAGAAAGGGGAGGAGCTTAGGGGGGCCGTGCTTGCGGGGCCGGGAAGCAGGCCTCCCTTATGACTGGTCAGGTTGGCTAGGCTGGGCAGCCTCTGGGAAGGGAGGAGAGGGAGAAAGACGGGTGCCTGTCCTGGGTGACAGTGGACAGGGCAGGGGACAAGTAGGCGCAGCTGTACCAGGAAATTGCAAATGAGAGGAAGCAGCAGGACTTAGACTTCAGGGGAGCGAGGTGTCTGGTGAGCAGGCCCTGCCTCTCTTTGTAGCCTGGCCTTGTGGTCTGGATTGAGGCTGAGGATGGTGGTAGCTTTGAGGCCTCCTAGCCTTCAGGGCGTAGCAGGTGGGCCGGTGTGGATGGCATGAGTCCAAGAATCCTAATCACCTCACAGTTGTCCCACTTGAGTTTGGGACTCAGTGTTGTGCAGGTTGGCAAAGAACGTGGCCCTGATGGGTGTTGGACCAGGTGGTGGGGACTCCCGGGGAGTGACAGCCTGAGGGTGGTGTGGCCTGAGCCACCTTTCCCGGGTGTGTGGGTGGTTTCTGGTCTCCAGAGGCGAAGGAGTGTTTCATCTAGACCAGAGCTGATCCTTTTTGCCCAGGAGTTCGTGGCTGGGTAAGGCTGACCTTGTGGTTGGTTCTTGGGGATGCCCCCCAACACCGTGCCCCCCCACGGAGCCCTGGGCTTTTAGATGCCAGATGTTTTAACATTTCTGCTGATCTTTTGGCTGGATTTTATGCCCTAGAAAAATGCAGATTCCTGGAGGGTTATTTCTTTAAATCTTCTCAGTTACTTCTGTTTTGGTGGAAATTAAGCTCTAGAGTTTTTCCAGAGGGCTTCTGGAGGAGGCATTTCTGAAGGGCAGGGTAGGAGTGTGGCAGGCTAGATGGGGGTGCTAGAGCACCCAAGGCCATGCCCACCTGGGAGGTTTGGCCATGGTGTTTGCAGGAAAGGAGAAGGCGCAGAGGCTGTCTGGTTTCCTTTCTGGTGTCCATGCTCTGGAGTTTGGGCCTAGGGGAAGGGGTTGGAGTGCTCAGCTTGAGTGGGTGGTCATAGGTACCTTGGAGGATTCAGGCCCTTTGGACCACCCATGCTTACTCCACAAGGTGGGCTCAGCCTGGGAGGGTTGGGGGCAGCTTCTCCTGGATCCAGCCTCTGGGATCCTCACCCTCTGGCTTCTAGAGATACTCTGAGCCATCAGTCCCAACCCATGCCCAAAGGCTGGCTCTGTCCTGCCATGTGTGTCCCCAGGTAGCAGAGACTGGGCCAGGAGGCTGGAAGCACCGGCTCTGCTGAGACCTGCCCCTCCCCCACCACAACACTCGCACACCTTTGATTCCGAGGCCGTTGGCTGCACTTGTGCTGAGTTCAGGGCTTCTGTGGAGGGTGAAATCTGTCGAGGAGGCACTTTTCGGCTCCCAGCCGCCACGCTCTGCACTTTTCTGTGCGATCTCTTCAGGAAGTCACCGTGTGCTCAGTGTCTGGGGGTGGAGGGAGGATGGCGGGTGGGAGAAGCTGCTGCCAGTGCTTTTTCTGTGGGCTGTCGGTGGTGGGACCAGTGCGGTGACCCTGTACCCCTACTCCGGCTCAAGGCCCTGAGGAGGTCTCTTCCAGCTCCTCCCGGAGGCCTTGCTCCCTGGGTAGGTGTGGGGTCCTGAGGCTCTTCTGACCTCCAGCTCGTCTGCGCCATCCCTGGCGCAAGGCTGGGTGAGGAGGGGTCTCTGCCCTGAGTGAGCGTGTGCCTCCCCCTCACCACGCTTTGCTCCCTGACAAGGGCAAGGAGGCATCCCAGTCCGGTCCGCATTAGGCCTCCACTTACCTCCCTGTGTCTGACTCGGAAGTCACGGTCGGAGTGGAGGGCGGAGGGGAACCAGGAATCCCAGGGTTAAGTGGATAAAAATGTTCCTGGCAGGGCTGCAGTAAGTGAGGGCAGGGTGTAGAAAGGGTGACCAAGTAGGTGGGAGGGGACCCTCTGGTTTTTGTTCCCTGCCTTGTGGGTGCTGACCCTGGTCAGGGTACTGGAGAACAGTTTGTGGCCCAGAGAGGGGCTGAGGTGGCCCCCTCTGGGCATCTTGTGGGCGCTCTTGTGAAACACCCTGGATGGGGTGGGGCAGGGGCACAAGAGGCTGTAACCCAAAGCCACAGGATGGTTACTCCATCAGCAGCAGAGGTGGACAGACAGGACGGAGGGGCGTGGGGCCCGAGCTTTTCCGGCAGGGGTGTCTGCCACCGGGAGGTTGGGGACTCCCACCAGTGCGAAGACAGAGTCAGAGCTAGTTGGACAACCCTGGGTGATTCTCTTCACAGTGAGCAGTCTGGGAGGAGTCACTCTCCCACTTCTCCCCGGTGAGGACGGCCCCCCAAGCCTTTGTGGGAGCAGGGTTTTGTCCCAGGCTGGCTTAGGGGAGGTGGCTGCAGTGAGTAGAGCCTGGGAGTGCACACGCACAGGGTCTCTGGTCCAGCCCTCACCTGCCATTGGCCAGGCTGGCCTTTCTGGCCCCAGCAGCTTGCTGGGCTGACAGTCCCCTGGGGCTGTGTTGGCTGGTGGCCTTGGGGAGTGCCAGGCCGGTGAGAGAGTGCGCGGGAGCGATGTGCTGAGTCAGCATGACTCGCCAGGAACAGCCAAGCTCTGGGGCGCACTGGGGTTATTTTTAAAGCTCCCGGCTTCCTTCTAGGCTGGCCCCTCCCGCATCCTTCTAATCTCTCTCCTGGCCCCTCTTCTTGCTTCTGCCTCCTTAACAGTCGTCCAGTTCCCCTTCCCCCATCAGACCCTCCTGGCCTCCCACCTGGTTCCCTAGGGGCAGGGTGGACAGGGAGCAGCCCAGCTCGGGAGAGGCCTGAGGCCAGGTATCTGGGGGTGTGAGAGGGCTCAAGGGCTGTGTGTGGACTGGGGCAGGGCAGGGGGCAGCCTCCAGGGTCCTGACCTCTGCTCCCTATCTCGCAGAGTGCCTGTTTGCTGTGCCCCCAGGTTATGACGACCCCCAATAAAGGAAACAAGGCCTTGAAGGTGAGCAGACAGGGTGGGCACTGTCTTGGGGCTGGGGCGGCATCTGGGCGGGTGGCCCCTACTTGGCCCGTGACCTCGTGCCCTGTGCTCTCCGCAGGTGAAGCGGGAGCCGGGCGAGAATGGCACCAGCCTGACGGATGAGGAGCTGGTGACCATGTCAGTGCGGGAGCTGAACCAGCACCTGCGGGGCCTGTCCAAGGAGGAGATCATCCAGCTGAAGCAGCGCCGGCGCACGCTCAAGAACCGCGGCTATGCCGCCAGCTGCCGCGTGAAGCGGGTGACCCAGAAGGAGGAGCTGGAAAAGCAGAAGGCGGAGCTGCAGCAGGAGGTGGAGAAGCTGGCCTCGGAAAACGCCAGCATGAAGCTGGAGCTCGACGCCCTGCGCTCCAAGTACGAGGCCCTGCAGAACTTCGCCAGGACCGTGGCCCGAAGCCCCGTGGCGCCAGCTCGAGGCCCCCTGGCTGCCGGCTTGGGGCCCCTCGTCCCCGGCAAGGTGGCCGCCACCAGCGTCATCACGATAGTCAAGTCCAAGACGGACGCCCGGTCGTAGGGACGCGCGCTGGCCCAGGCGGGTTTGCAAGGGGCCACTTGGCACGTGGTGAATCGGCAGCCCTGTCCCCTTCCTCCCCCTTCCTGTCCTCCTCTTCGCTCCCCTCCTCCTCCCTCCTCCCTCCCCTGCAAAGCACAACCTGTACCCCAGGGGCGCCGGGCTGAGCCCCTTGACCTCGTCGTTGTCATCATGTGTTTTGTACGTTGGGATTGGTCGGTTCGGTGGTGACGTGCGGTCGCCCCAGCCTCCTTGGTACCAAGGGCAGGTGGGCTTGGCATCCAGAATTGGCCCTGTGGGAAGGCATGGAGGGAAGAGTTGAGCAGGTGCTCTGGGACATGTGTGTCCCTGAGCGGGGAGGGCTTCAGGGCAAGAGAGGCCCCCAGGCTAGCCAGAGGCCGGGTGCTTCACCCTCAGCTCGGCTGGCGGGCAGAGGTGGGCACTGCTCAAAAGAGTAGGGTGTCCCCGAGGGCCCTGGATGGGCAGGCCACCTGTCTGGCGCTGGGGCGGTGGGGCGTCGTGTGGCTGTGAGCCAGGGGCCTTGGCGCTCGTGCCTGACGCGTCGCACTGAATAAGACCAAATCACTGGTTGTGAGCGTAGTGAAGGGTGTGTCCAGTGTCCTGCGATGGGTCCCGTGTCACTGTTTACATGACCTATTTGTGTGGTTACATAGCCCTTTATTTAAAAGAGAGAAGTTCCTTTTACGAAGTTATTAAATTATATGTTTAAAAGTTAAAGGAAAAAAAAGCTGCAGAGTATTTATAAAACTGTCTTTTTAAAAAAAGAAAAAAAGCAACAACATTTGACCACAAAAACAGAAAAGGGAAGAAAGTATAATAGAAATTTTGCTAGTTTAAAAAAAGAAAAAATCCTTTTCTTGTAAACTTGCAGACAAGTCTTTGTGGCTGTTGGAGTTTAGTTTTTATATACACAGAGTTATCAGATGTTATTTATAAAACTTAGTTTAAAAAAAAAGACAAAAAAAAAAGACCGAGCCGCGAGCGACCAAGGCGCGTCCTCTCTGCTATCTCTTTTGCAATTGTACCGAAAGTGACTTACTCCTTTGCCCTTCCTGCTTCCGTCTCTTGCCGGTGCCGTGGTGTCGTCCGTGCCTGGTGAGGTCTTGTGCAGCGTCACGTGCTGGTGCTTCTGGTGACCTTTGACCTGTGGGTGTCACTTCTTGTGTCTGTTCTCCCGTGTTTGTGTTCCGCATCTGGTTGTGGTTTTGATTCTGCCGGCTTGTCAGGCCCAGGCTGGGGGGCCAGGCCGCGCTCAATCCAACAGAGCTTGGGGGTCTGGGCTTGCCAGCCTGGCTTCTTCTGCCCCAGGGGTCAGATGTGGGGCACCCCCACCTCCACCTGCTGACCCTTGGCCTTGCATGTGGGTCTCAGGCTCAGGCTGATCCAGCAGCAGGGTTTGTGAAATGGGGGCCATCCCCGGGACCCCCGGCACTACTTCCTTGCCCACCACCTCTGGTCCTGGTGGGAGTTTTGCAAGGACCCAGGAGTCCCTGTTTGTACCCACAGGGCCAGAGCCAAGCTGCCCCCGGCTGTCTTCCTCCTGGCCTCCAGTCAACGAGTTCAGGCTCCAGCCACCGACCCAGGGTTTGTCCCTGTGGGTCTCACGTGGGCTTCGGCAGGGGAACCCCAGGAGCCCACTGCCCACTCGTCCCAGAACTATTTCCATGCTGCAGGGCAGTGCTTCCCAGGCAGAACCAGGTGGTTTCGGGGCCTACCTGGGCAGCCCCTTCTCCTTGCCTGGGGACCTGGGGGTCTCCGCCAGTGCCAGACAAGGGCTACGGTCTCCAGGGACAGGCCCTGTCCCTCGTCTCCCCCAAACATGCTGGCAGCTCTCAGCTTTGGGCCTCCTTCCACCTCCCTGTGGGGTCTGTGTCTTCCAGGGGCCCACCGCCTGGCTGGCGGAGGTGCTTCTCCGGGGCTGAGTCAACTCCCCCTCCTGGCCGCTTAGGGGAGGCAACCAGTCTTCCAGACTTGGCTTGGGCAGCTGCTTGTAGGCACATGAAGAGGCGACTCCCCTGACTCTGGCCACGTGGGCCTTGGCCACTCCTTGGGATCACTAATTGGGGACCCTGAACCCCTGAAAAAGTACAGAAGTGGGCTGATGAAGAGAAGAACCATGTGGCCTGGTGAGGTTTGACATTGTGGGCAGCAAGATCTTCACCCCAGAGTCTGACCCAGTGTACCCAGGTCAGGGGTAGGAGGAGGGACACGCTGTCAGCTGCTGTCGCCTTGATGGGCTGCTCTTGGCACTAGATGCTCAGAGACTCCTGGCTGTACCCTGGTGACGTCCAGTGGAGATTTTGACAGTGGACTCTGAATCACTGAGTGGCTTCCTTCGCCTCCTGCAGTCTGGCTTTGTCTCCCGGGGCCTGGATGAGAGTGGTTGATGTTGGTTGTCGCAGCGAGTTGGAATCCCATCCTAGGAATCCGTAAAGAGGTCATGGCCTGTCCTGGACTGGGGAGGGACGGGCTCCCCATGTCTGAGTATGCTCCCCACTTTTTTCCTGGCTGAGAGGAGGTGGTTCATCTCTGTGCACCCCTGCCAGGCTGTAGACCTGGAGAGAGGAGGGTGGGCATGTGCTGAACAGAAACTGCAGGTCCTTGGTTTGGTTTACAGATGCTTCTGGAGTTAGGCTGTGTTTCCTTTGGAGGTTTTTGCATTTGGAGCAGTTATTCCTTGGGTCTGGTGAGCATCCTGCTCCCATCAACCAGCCTCGCAGGGCCGCTCAGCCCCCTCTCCCCTTTACCTTGGTTCTTGACCTTGATCCTGTGTCCACATGTGAATGGTTGGCGTCTTTCTGATTCTCATTGATTCATTTTTCCCAGTGTGAACGTGTTGTGTTCTCTCTCAACTTTTCTGACACGGCGAACTGAGGGCTTTGGCTGAGGCCAAGTCTTGCAAACTTGTTCGCTAAGTATAACGCTCACCGTTCTACACACCTTGCCCTTGCCTGACTCCACCCTTATCTGGACGTGGACACAGATTTCAGAGCAGAACCCTTTGGGAACAGGTCAGCCCCTGCCCAGAGTGTGGCTCCAGGGAGCCCTCTCCGTGGCCCCTGGCCCCTGCTCTGGGTGGCGCTGTTTGTGCAGGTGAGATGCTACGGCTGCTGTGTGGGGTGTTGGCTTCTGCTGAGTGCTAGACCTCCTGGTCCATGCTTTAGGTCTGTGCACAACCCTGGCTGTCAGCCGCAGCCTCGATGGTCAGTGCCTGGGCCCAGGGCTCTGATCAGCTGCAGCCTGCTTTGGGACAAGCTCCATCCCATTTCACCTGCCTCCCTCTCTGGGGTGGCGGAGTGGCCGGTTGGCCACAGTTCCAGTCCACAGCTGGGAAGCCTCAGCCTGCAGCACAGTTTCCGCTGTAGGATCTTGTAAGTTACTTTTTTAGGCTGTGGTTTGGTGAAAGGAACCAACACATTAACGATTTTTTCCCCCAGAAGCCACTGAATAATTCTTTTTGGCGCGTTTTCACCTTCCTGTTGGCTGTCTGGTTTTGGAGCAGATGGGAAGAGCGGAGGACACCCAGAGGCAGGGGTGTGCCCTTGAGACTAATGGCCTGTCCTGCTCTGGCCTGTGTGTCCTGAGAGTGTGCTGTACTTGTTGGGCCAGTTGCACCCATTCCTTCCCCACCCTGGAGCAGCAGCCTTGGTACGTGGGTGTCCCTTGAGTCTGAGCTGGAGTGTCGGAGAGCAGGTTCCCGATGACCTGTTAAGGGGGACCCCTCCAATAACCTCATGTCCCAGCCCCACCCTTCTCCCCATCCCCTCAGTCCGCTAGTCCCTGAAGCCTTTAACCAAACAGGAGTGGGTACAGAAAGCCTTCTCCTGGCATCTGAGGGCGGCAGGACAAAGGCTGTGCAGTGTCCCGTCCTGCTGCCCTCCCAGCACTGAGAGGGTGGGCCAAGCGGAGTTGATCAGACCCTTCCTGCCCTGCCTAGGACTGAAGACAGGAGGTGGCGGGGTACCTGCGATCTGCCAGGGCAGGTGGGGTTGTTGAAGGTCCAGGTGGGGAGGGGCCTCAGCTGGGGCACCTGGGCTGACCTGGGGTGGCGGTGGCCTCGCGCCCTCCCTGCCCTGTGCAGTATTTATTGCTAAATTATTGTCCAGGAGGGGCGGCACTGGACCGGGCCCCGGGTATTTATTGCTGTACATAGTGTATGTTTGTGATATATAAGGTTTTCTTTATTTTGTATATGATCAATAAAAACCTTTTAAAGAGACTGGCAGGTGCTTCCTTGGGGCGGCGCGCGGGCGGGGG